TCAACAAGTGGGATCTCTTCTTATTAAAAAGCTTCTGCACAACAAGAGAAAACCACCACCAGTGTGAAAAGGCAACCCACAATGTGGGAAAAAATATTTACCAACTGTCCCTCAGACAAGGGTCTACTATCTAGGATATATAAAGAACTTACAAAAATCAGGTCTCCTAAATTTAAAGAGCCAGTCCAAAAATGGGCATCTGAAATGAACATTTCTCAAAAAAGTAGAAATAGCAAATAAACATATTAAAAAATGTTCAACATCACTGTTCATTTGAGAGATGCAAATGAAAACAACACTTCACCCCAGAAATGAAATTCCACTTCACCCCAGAAAAAGTGGCTGCCATCATGAAATCAACCAATAACAAATGCTGGCAGGGCTGTGGGGAAAGAGGAATCCTGCTCCACTGCTGGTGGGAGTGTAGACTGGTATAATCACTGTGGAAATCAGTATGGAAATACCTCAAAGAAGTAAGACTGGAAGTCCCATTTGACCCAGCTATTCCCCTGCTGGGGATCTTCCCCAAAGGATTAAAAGAATCATACCACAGTGATATGTGTGCACCCATGTTCATAGCAGCACAATTTGTCATAGCTAAAACTTGGAAACAACCCAACTGCCCATCAAATGGAGACTGGATAAAGAAAATGTGGTTTTTTTTATAAAATAGGAGTATTACTCAGCCATAAAGGATGAGAAATTAGAGACATTTATAGCTAAATGGATGCACATTAAGGCCATACTCTTAAGTGAAATAAATAGGACACATGTGTAAATATCAAATAGTTTCTCTAGTGTGAGAAACTGAAAGTGTAAATAAGGACTAAAAGGTATAAGAGATAACGTGAAATAGGAAGAAAAGGGGAAAAGGGGAAGGGGAAATGGGAGGGGTAGGGGAAAAGAAAGAAGGGAATGGAATTAATATGAGAAAAAGAAAAAATGGAAACAAAGTCTTTGTAGAAAGGGAGGGGTGGAGGGGTTCAAGGGAGGGCAGGGGAATGGGGGAAAAGTAAGAACCAAGATGAATTATGTAGAGGTGCAAATTTCCAATGATGAATGTCATTATATTGTACACCTTAAATGTACCAATATAATTAATTTAAAAAATTCCACCCTCTTCCTTTCCTGCCTTTGCCAGTAATACCCATCAAGAGGATTGCAACTGAAGTGTGTGAATAAACAGTGACTATGAGTGGAGTACAGCTTTTGACTCACTGTTTCCCAACCAGTAAAGATAGGGATCACACTGCCTTTTCCAGGTGGTTGTGAAGGGACTATGATAAGAGCCATCATGATGTAAAAGACAAGCTACCACCCAAATATCAGCTGCTGTGTAGGACAGTAATGGTGATAATACAGTCCTTATCAAATTGCTTCATGACTGGCTGAGATGAAACCTCAGTATAGCTTTGATCTGAACTTTCCTGATGACTAATGACAGTTCACAATGCCCGAGTTATGAGATCAGCCCAAGTGCCTATCAGCAGATGAGCGAATAATATAAATGTGGTATAAATGCACAATGGAGTGTGGTTCAGCCATAAAGAATAAAACCATGTCATTTGCAAGAAAATTGAAGTGGAGATCATTATGTTAAGTGAAATAAGGCAGACTCAAAAAGACAAGTAGGACATATTTTCTCTCATATGTAGAATCTAGAAAGAAGGGATGTGGGAGTAGAAAGGAGAATATTAAAGAAGAGGAAAGGGGTCAGGAGGAGAGTGAGGAAAGGGAATGGAGTGGATATGATCAAAGTAGGTTACATGCATGCGTGAAATGGCATGATGAAACCCAATATTCTGTACAATTAAGATGCATTAATAAAATTTTAAACTGGCTTCCTGTTAGCAGGCACTTGTTCCCTGGCTACGTGTCATGCAGTAGAACAAGACCTTCCATGCTTCCCCTGGGTGCTTCCAAGTTTTCTGTCTTCCAGGGCCACCCCGCCATTCTTTAGCACAAATAAACTAGCAAAGCCCCACTGGTGTCACAGTGAAAATCCAGTCATCTCCTCCCATGTTCCTGAGGTTGAGAAGTTCTTACGAGGCTCTGGTGACATTTTATCTGCCATAGCAAGCACAGCTCTGATATTTCCTACAGTTTGTCAAAGGTGTAGACACAGCCCTACATCTACAAGGCCAAGCACAGGATGCTACCCAACAAACTTCACTGATGGCCTGGGAGGACATGTGTTTTTCATAATGTGAAAAGAAACCAGTATGAAAAACCAGCTCATGGTGCTCGTGTGGGCTCTCACTGGTTTTAGAAACCTAGGAAGCATCTCCCAAGTAGAAGTGTTTCGTAAACAATTACACAGCCATTGTTCAATGGGTACAGTTTCAGCCATGCTCCATGAGTAAGAATCCACTCTACAACACAGTGCCGATGGCTAACATAATGCACACTTCAAAGTTTACTCGAAAAGTAGATCTTGTATAAAATGTTCTTACTATAAAAAACAAAACACACACTCATAAAGGGACATGAAGAAATTTGGGGAAATGCTGGATGTGCTTTTACCTTGATTGTGTTAACAGTATCATAGGTATTTGCCTAAGTCCTAGCTAATAAAATTGTATACAAATAGGTGTTCTTTGTATATCATTAATACTTCAATAAAGTGCTAGAAATATAGTTGAGACTATCACTTACACAAAATGGGAATAACATTTCTATATTATTGGTGGGAATGTAAACTAATACACCACTGTGAAAATCAGTATGGAGATTCCTTAAAAAACCAAAAGTAGAAATTCTATTTGATCCAGTTATAAATCACAAAAAGGAGGATTTTCCCACAGAGAGGTAAAATGAAGCCCCACACAAAAAATCAGAGGATTAACCATAGGAAAGCAGTGAGCAGTCAAACCGTTTATCCCCAGTGGAACTTGAAGAAGCTGGAAAAGCAGAATCCTATATCCCTGACTCCTGAGGGTCTCCACGCAGAATTTATAAGGAAGACAAAGCTGATACTCATTTCTGTTGAAAGCTGTAGGCTAACACACAGAGAGAGAGGAGCGAGGGGAGTGGGGAAGGAGGGAAATGGGAGAGAGGGGACAGGAGGTGAGACGTGGGGTAGCGTGAGGGAGACAGGGTGGGGTGGGGTGGAGGCTTGGCACTTGGGGTGTGGACAGGGGTCAGGGAAGGGGGCGTTGAGCGGGACAGAGGGGTGGCTGAGGGACAGTCCGCAGGGGAGAGGCAGCCCCGAGGGTAAGTGTGGGGAGGGTGCAAGTGTGAAGTCCGGGGCGGGGCGGGGCGGGAGCTAAACAATGTCCTTGTCTCCAAAGCAGACCCCGGCGCTCTCAGCCCCACTCCGCACAGGACTGCCCCTCCTTGAAACACAGCCGCCATCTGCATGCGCAGCCGCTGTGTGATCTCCCTTCCCTCCACTTCCTGTCTCCAGCTGGGACTCGCCCCCGCCCCCGGAAGTGGCCGGTCTGGGACCCTGCTCACCTTCTTGGTAGTGGTGTTTCCATGCAGTGCTGTGGATTTTGCCAGTCACACGTATGCTGGTAAAAGTAGCAATGATCCTAATCATTGACACATTAAATAATAGCACAGTTGGACCAGCTACACACACTTACTGAGACAGCCCAGAAGCACCTGGCTATTTCTACCACCAGGCTGCGTCGGGGCATGGCTTGGCCGGGTGCTTGTGCCCCCCCCCACTTCCCTTGGCTCCCGTTGCCCCCTCATAGACTGGAACAACTTGCTTTGGTGTCCTCCAAAACCAACTTTGCTCCACTCCACTCCAACAGGAGCTCAGCTCCAGCATCAGCACAGTGAAGGGAGGGGGCACCCGGTGTGACCAAGATCAGAGAGGGAGGGCTCTGACCCCCTGTTTACATCCCCAGCCTCCACAGCTAGCCTCCCAGAAGATTCGGTGGTCTCGGCCCCATCCCCTCCCTGGCTCATCGCCTTGACAGCTGAGGCTGTCCTGGAGCCCTGCACCAATCACAGGCCTGCAGCTGCTCACACGTTTCCCTAGGCAGGCTAGGAGGGCTCCCCAGTGTACCTACCTCTGTGTGCTGTTAAAATACTGGGGTACTCCTGAAAACCTGGTTCTGATTTATTTCTCAGGCAGCATAGGCTCCAAAAGTCCTGTAAACCTATTAGGAATTCTTATCCAAAGTCATGTGGACAGAGTGGTCATTTCAAAAGAATGAGCAATACACATAAGGGCCATTAGCTAAAGAGCTCCAGAGATGTGCAGCTAACGAAGACCTGCAGCAGAGACCAACACATGGCAGAGTTGACCTGCAGGGACCGGAACATGCTGATGGCAGCAGGGACCAGCCGCTGGTCATGTGGACTGTTGGCACGGAGCATTACCCAGTATCATTGGTGACACCATGACAGCAGCAGAGCTGCCTTTGCATATGCATGATTTCCACCTGAACTGGGCAAAAGAACCCTAGGTGGATCGGCAACTTGCTACTTCACAGCATTCCCCTGTCACACTGTCCCCTGACTTAACAAACCTATACAGCTGACAGATCTGCTGTTATCACAACTTCACACTTTCCATAGAACAACACATTTCCATAGCTTACCTGGTTCAGGGGACCCTGGAATGCATAGAAGGGATGTTCCTGCTGTGACCTCCTTGACAATTGTAGTGTCTCAAAATTCAAACCTGCTGGCTTTATCATGACGAAACTGGGAAAACTCAGCCTAACCACAAACACACCCTTGCTCCTGAATCACACGCACGGGGTGCAAGGCTCAGGGGGCTCTTCACACCTAATAGGACACACCTGGGGTGTTAAACACTAAGCTGTACACCTCTGCTGACAGATGGTTTCACTTGTTGACTTATACACAGCTCAGCTGCAATATATTCAAATTATTGGTGCCTTGGATGGCTACTTCTGGGAGTTTATAACTTTGACCCCAAAACTACCTACTATACCAGAATAAATCTTTGCAAATTTGCTTCAAGTTTGTGTGCTCCTCTTCTGAAAAAAAAATTTCTCTCCACATTTTTCATCTCAAATATACTGATAAGTTAGGCCATGTACCTCCAGTGGGCCCAGGGTTGGAGAAATAATCCACTGGAGTGTTCTCAGTCCTGCCGCTACCGCTCACTGCCCCCTCTTCCCTGACTCCCCAGGGGCTGCTATTCACTGTCTGCCAGCAAATGCCCAAACCCACTGGAGGAGTTGGTACTTCTCCCCCAGGGGACACCCCGGGACAGCAGGTGCAGACCCTCCTCAGAAATCCTGCAAGCACTGCTCACAGCTGGGGAGGGCCTAGGAAGCCACATCTGAGGCAAGTGTGCGCATGTGCATTTCTAATATAAAGATCTGGGTAAGACCTGTCTCTTCATTTTGTTTTTACTTTTTGTTACTGCAATAATCACTGTTACTGTATAAACACTGAATAACAAAACTATTTTTTATCAACATCACCACATCCTGTCCTTGTTTAAAGCCAAGTGTGCACCTTCTGCCATGAAATATGCTTGCTAGAGTGGTCTCAGTTACGTGAAAGTAAGCCAACGCTGTTATCAGTACTGAAAAGCTAAAACCCTGAATGTTATTGAGACTACAAAAGAAAAATAAAAGGGTCTTTTAAGGCAAGGAATTAATGAGGGATGGTTTCACGTGCCAGGAATATAAAAGCTACCCCTTACGTCAGAGACTTGGCAGCTGAAATGTGCATAGCCAAAGCTTGCCAGTGAGTGCCAACCAGAAACTGGCAATCCAACCACTATATTCTATCTGGTTAGTAGGGCAGAGAGTGGTATGTGGCTTTGTGGGGAGGGTCCTTTTGTTGCTTTTCCACTGCTAGAGATTGAACTCAGGGTCTTCGTGCGTAGCTTCCTCTCCAGCCCATTTTTTTGTTTTGTTTTTTGGTTTTGTTGTTGCTGTTACGTTGTTTTGTGTTTTGTTTTGTTTCTGGCAGGGTCTAGTTCAATTCCTCAGGTGGAACTTGAACCTTCAGTCCTCCTTCCTCAGCCTCGAAGAATGCTGGGATTATAGGCAGATGCCACCTGGTCTCTGAGTGCCAACTTCTCTGGTCCCTGACCGCCAACCTCAGCATCCCATGGAGCTGATTTCTTGGGTCTCTCTCAGACCTCCTGAGAAACTCTGGGGGTGGAGGCCAGCAATCTATGTGAGGACCTTAAATAAGAATTTCCTGGTGGTTCTAATGCAGATTAAGGTTTGAGACCATCTAGTAGAGAGAAGCAACTTATGTCTGTATCGTGTAGGGACTGAAGGCTTAAGAAACTAATAATTTCCTATAATACTTATAGGGAAGGATGCAAGAAACACTAAGGAAGATCTCTGACACACCAATCACATTTACATTAAGGAATCTGGTTATTTTCGGGCAGCTGCACCAGCTGCTCTAACCTTTTTTTTAGCATCTTACTCCCACCTCTGGGCCAAATCTTCCTCCCAATCTGGCTCAGTTTAATTAGCATTAGTTTACAAAGTGTGTTCATATGCATCATCTCATTTGATCCTCGTAGTAATCCATCCCATAGACAGACTATTCTTGTTTAGTAAATGAGACAAATGGATCTGAGACATTCAGGGACTGGCATAAAACCACACAACTATTAATTAGCAGAGCCAGAATTTGAATTCTAGACCTTTGCTAATTTATACTGCCTTTCTGTTCACTACATTTAGTCCATTTAGAAAAAACTCCTCCTAAAGGATTTATTCCAGAATTTCCCAACCCCATCATTCCCGGCATTTCGGGCTGGTTAAAGCTTTAACTTTGTCAAGATGGGGCTGCATTGTAAAGTTCTGAGCAGCACGCGGGGTCTCTGCCCACTAGATGGCAGTAGCGCCTCATTCCTAGGAGGAGTGAGGGGCAATTCACCCCTGGTGAGAGCAGCTGATTTAAATTTAACTCAACAAATGTCTCAATCTAAACATACATCAGAATGGCCTGGAGAGTGATTGTAGGTGATTCAGCAGGTGTAGGAGAGACCTGAGGATTTGTGGTTCTAACCATTCCCAAGTGGTGCTAATACTACTGATCTGGAGAGTTTAACGTTTTCAAGTGAAAAACAGACACATAAAAGGTATGTTTGTGATTTAAGTCACTTCTTTACACTAAAATGAGTCATCAAAAAAAGCAAAAGGTAGCCTTAGCCCATAGCACAGCAGTTCTGTAAACAACTCCTTCCCAACGTTGACCAAATTTGCAAACCAGGTTTCCATTTTTTTAGTACATGGCCCTTGAAAAATATTTAAACATAAGTGGTCTGTGCTGGAGAATGGAAAATTTCTCATACTCCTTACTTCCCAAGTCTTCTCATGGAATTTTAAAATGTATTCTAACTGCAAATCTCTTTGTGATACCAGAAAAATTATGCAGTAGTTCCTTTTTGTTTACACAGTACATGCTAGTGTATAGGCTGGATCAAGAGTAAGGTGAATCATGCCTCCTTCTCAGAGTTGTGGAAAGTATCATATTTTATAATGGATTTTAAACACACCTCTCTGAGAGAGATTCAGAAAGCCTGAAGCCCTGGGGATAGAACCTTTGGATAGATGTTGACATGAAGAAGCTAAAACAAATCCGTTCCTGGGAATCAAAGATGCTGTTTTGTTACTTCCTGGATTTTAAGAAAGATTAACACTTTTGAGGAGCATGGTGGCACGTGCCTGTAATCCCAACACCCTGGGAGGCTGAGACAGAAAGAACATAAATTCAAGCCCAGCCTGGGCAACTTAATAACTTAGATCTTGGCTCAAAATAAAAAATAAAAAAGTCTGGGAATGTGGCTCACTGAGAAGGCCCTAGGTTCAGTCCCCAATACTAAAATAAGAAATGATTACCACTGTCCATTTAAGACATACACATTCTTCTCTCTTCTCAATTTCTTTTTAAAGTACATTTTAAAATTATCTTCAAGAGTTTTTCTATAACTTTAAAAAGACTCATCTTTAGATTTGAAACTATGATCTTTCCTAGACAATGATGGAACTATTTCTTATTCTTTGTGATTTTTAAATTTAATTGACTAATTGTATATATGATCATGCCCAACATTCTGTTTTGAAATATGTTTATATTCTGAAATGACTAAATAGGGCTAATTAATACATGCATTGCTTCCCATAATTAACATTTTTGTGGTAAGAACGCTTAAAATCTACTCTCAGCCATTTTCAAGTATACAATACATTGTTATTATTGTATTATTATTATTAACTATAGTCACCACGTCGTGCAATACATCATTTGAACTTGTTCCTCCTACCTAACAGAAATGTTGTGGCCTTAACCAATATCTCCCTAACCCCAGCCCCCAGTAACCACCATTCTAGTTTCGACTTCTATGAATTCATTGTGTTTGAGATGCCACACAAGAAATGAAACTATAAGGTATTTTTCTGGCTTATTTCACGTAACATAATGTTCTCCGGGTTCATCCCTGTTCTTGTGAATGACAGAATTTCCTTCCTTCTAAACACAATGAATAGTACTGCAGTAAATAGACACTTCGCAAAAGAAAAAATACAAATGCCCAATAAGAACATGAAAAAATGTCCAGCATCTTTGGCCATGAGAGAAATGAAATTCAAAATAACACTGAGATTCCATCTTACTCCAGTAAGAATGGCCATCATCAAAAGCAGCAAATAGCATTTTGTTGTGTTTATAAACCACATTTTATTTTCTTTATCTTTCATCCATTGATTATAGTCACTGAGGTTGATTCCATATCCTATTGTAAATTCTGAAGCAATGAACATGCAGTGCACACATCTCTTAGACATAAAGGTTTTATTTGCTTTGGGTATAGATGACTGGATAATAGGATTGTGGGATCATATTCTTAGTTCTATTTTTACTTTTTTGAGGAACCTCCAGCCTGTTCTCCATAGTAGCTACACTAATTTACGTTCTCACCACCAGTGCATAAAGCTTCTCTTTTCTCCACATCCCCTCCAGAACTTATCTTTCACTTTTGGACAACAACCATTCCAACTAGTGTGACGTGCTACCTCACTCTGGTTTTCAGTTGCATCTCCCTGATAATTAGTGATATTGAGGATTTTTTCCTATATCTGTTGGACATTTGTCTGGTCTGTCTTCTTTTTTTGTTTGTTTTTTTGGTACCAGGGATTGAACTGGGGTCCTTGCACTTGCATGGCAGGCTGCAGAACCACTGAGCTAAATGCCCGGCCCTGTCTGCCTTCTTTTGAGAAATATCTGTCTGAATTGCCCATTTTTAAATCAGGTTATACTTTTTCGCCTACTATTGAGTTGTTTAAATGTCTTGCACATTTTGGATTTAACCTTTCATCAAATGTAAGATTGGAAAGTATTTTTTTCTCATTTGCTAGTTGTCTCCACTGTTTATTGCTTGCTGTGCTGTGCAAAAGCTTTTAAGTTGAATGTAATCTCAGTTGTCCATGTCTTATTTTGTTGCTGTGCTTTTGAGGTCATCTAAACCATCGTTGTCCAGACCAATGTCATGAGCTTTTCTCCGTGTTCTCTTGCTGTTCTACAGCTTGGGGTCTTATAGTTTAGTATTTAATCTGTTTGGCATTGATTTGTCTGGTATGCAGTAGGGGCCTGACTTATTCTTCTGCATGTGGAAATCCAGTTTTACTGGCATCATTTATTGAAGAGACTGTCCCCTTGAGTGTTCTTGGAACTTTTGCTTTAAGTATGTGGATTTGTTCCCAGTTTTTCTGTTCTCTCCCATTGGTATATGTGGCTTCTCCTGTGCTGCACCATGCAATTTTGATTACTGTAGACCTGTAATATATTTTGAAGTCAGGTGGTATGACACCTCCAGTTTTGTTTTCTGTTTTGTTTCTGCTTCTGTTTTTGTTTTGCTCAAGATTGCTTTGGCTATTCAGGGTTTGAGTGTGATTGTATAAAGGAAGTTTTTCATTAAAAGAATAAACTTTAAGAGGTCAAGTTGGCTTTTACTAAAAGATGAATATGACAATAAGGAAATTATCCATAATCGATTCTTTTAAAGAAATGAGAAAACAAAGTAAGGTAAATTATTCCTATAAGGTATATTTTATTGTCAGTTTACACAGGCTGCTTCTGCCTAGTCAGCAGGTTTTCAAGGAGTCCAGAGGCACCGAACAGTTTGAAAATAAAAACATTTCTTCAACTCTTTGATGGCTGAAGTGATTTTGCAACCAGTAGCATTGGCAACAGCTGAGAACTGGTTAGAGACATGGCCTGTGTCTGCTGATATACAGCTGCAAAAGATCAAGCCTTTTGCATTCACATGAGTGAAGGAGAAACATTAAGTTGATAATGCAGGCAATTCTTCCACAGAGAGTTCTTAAATAGGAAATAAAAAGGAGAACAGAAAAGGTAGGATCAACTCCTTCTATAAACTAAAGAAAACAAGACCTATTCCAGAAGCAAGCAAATGTTTGGCTTTAAACCATATGAGAACTGCTTTGCTGAAATACATCATGTATACAAAACTTTTCCAGATTTTTAGAAAATAAATAATTGATATAGAGGAGGGAATCTCAAATGAAAGAATGGACATTAATTTCTGTACATATCTACTATTTTTAGTAAGAAATATAAAGATTATATACAGCTAAGATTCAAAGTACAGAATTTTACAGTTAATAAAATTTTTGAAGATCAGATCTTATTCTTTTAAATTTGCTTCAGAATTTCAGTCTAGATGATTTTCTGGTTCAATTTTTAAACTGAATAGTTAACTGACTACATTCATTCATATAGGCAAAGTGGCAATGTAATCTCTTTCCTTATTAAAATATTGTTTCATGGGGGTTTTTCTACTTTATATTTTATTCTGAAAGTGATAATCAGTAGGCTAGTCACCCCTAGATAAATTTTGAAACATTATGAAATTATAAGAACAATTTCTGATAAAGCAATTGTTTCTTCCCACTAGAAATTATTTTATTTACACTGTTAATTGAAATATAATGAATTGCATGTTATCCTTTTGGGATCTAATTTAACATTTTAAAAACTAAGCATCCACATTTTAAGAACCAATAATTACAAAATTATAGTCTGTGTGTGTTTAAATGATTGAAAGGGTACTAGATAGGGCAAATGTCTTAAAATTAACATTTTCTATGAAAAAATGCAAAATGATTCAGGCTGAAGGAAAGAAAATTTCCAAAGTTATTTATTTTAAATGAGCTCACTGTATATTTCATTTAGCTAGGATATAAATGCAAAATGGGAAATTTTAGCAAATGCTTTTATGCCTTATTTGATAAAAGAGCTATCTTCGCCATTCCGGGTAATAGGCAAGTTGATCCTAAGGCATTAAAAAAATGAAAGGGAACAGTTAATATCCACGTTTATTCTGTAATTTCACTGTGTTCCCCTCCACGTGCTGCAGTGCTGGGTATCACTCTCGGCTCTCTCAGCTCTGCCCCATCAGGGATCCCTGCCTCACTTCCGCTCACCACACTGCTGTCCTTTCAGTCTAACCACTGCATTTTCCTGGCAGACTGTTCTCAACACGTTTCAGAAAAGGAGATACCCCTAGCTCCAGCCCCTAATTCTTCCTCGGTGCCTCTCAGGCCATGATTGATTATCTCAGTCTGCGACCACTTTCTGAGGAGCCTGAACCCCTGCAAACAGCATGGACCAGTCTCACGCCACTATTTCCACGTAAGTAGTTCATTTGCTTCTTTTTCTCTTGAAATCCTATTGTACAGCTTTCCCTTCAATCAGTGACTGCTTGGTTTGCTATGATTTGGTCATAGAAAGTGAACCTAATCCTTGAAATTTAGCAGTCAGGAAAGAGAGCCTGAGGACAATTATCCGGGGGGGTTTTCACAAACAGCAAATGTTTTCGTCATACCTGCCTAATAGAAGCAATCCAGGTTACACAATTATTTGATAACAGATAAATTAAAGAAAGAAATGTGTGCATTACCTAAAGTGTATTTTATTTTTAGTTAGCCATTTGTACTCTATTTGATAAAAATTAAACAAAGAATATTTAATTTCCATGTCTCCACAATGGCTGCATATACTCAGGCTCCTACATCTGTGTATTTGAGGGAAAATTCTTTTTTTAAACAGTCTATATCATTCCTTCTGAGATTGTAAGCTGCCTGAGAAAGTATGGGAGTACTTCACTTTCCTTCCTAATCCAGGATTCAAATGCCAGCCACCTCTTTAGCACTTACAAAAGTGACATGAGAATCCTGCTGCAGGAGATTGCAGTATTGATTATACCCAAAGCAGGCTGTAAGCAGTGCAGGGTGTGAAGAGTAAACCCCACAAAAATTGGCTTGTTTAGAGAAGGGAGTCCCGCTGAAACCTACGTGCCAAGGTCAGAGTAACTTACATCCAAATTCCATTCCCACAACTAAAACCTTCTCTCTGTGTTCTCCTGCTCAGTATACAATGCAGGCCTGAAAAAAACCTCAAAAAGACAGAACTGAGAGAGACAAAGCAGGGCACCAGGAAACTCCATGCTGGGGCAACTGACAAAGGTGCTGGCCAGTCCAAGCCACTGATTTTTTTTTCTGACTAGAAGGACAATGTTCTAATTACATCCATATATTTTGTCTATTCTGTTCCTAATTAGAGAATGTCTTATCTTTTACGAGACTTACTTACATTAATTTCCATAGAAACTGCACAACTGTGTGTTCTCACATGTAGTTCTGCCCTCGCACATAGCTCTCTTTTACCCCAATTGATTACTAATAAAAATCAGTAGCTTGGGGGCCAGGGATTTAGCTCAGTGGTGTGGCACCTGCCTCATAAGCACAAGGTCCTGAGTTTGATCCCTGGTACCGAAAAAAAAAAAAAATCAGTGGCTTGGACTGGCCAGCACCTTTGTCAGTTGCAGCAGCATTGAGTTTCCTGGTGCCCTTCTTTGTCTCTCTTAGTTCTGTCTTTTTGAGGGTTTTTTTCAGGCCTGCATTGTACACTGAGCAGGAGAGCACAGCCTACTACAGACGTTTCCAGCAACATTTCAGGGGTCCCAACTATCCTGGTACTGATTTAAAAATAATAATAATAATAATAAACTCTTAGTAGTATTGCCACAAAGTAAAAGGAAAAAAAAGAACAGCATCACATAGAACAAATTAAAATGCTACAAGTAAAATGATAAAATATGTATATTATATAATTCATAAAGGAATGGTGGTCACATTATATGGAAGCAGAAGGAGCAGTTGATAGTCAAAAACTAGAAGGAAGAAGGACTGATGCATAAAGTGAATAGAAAGAAGAAGATGTACAGATATGAGAAATAACAACAGTGAGGTAGCTGAGCACAGTGGCCCACACCTGTAATCCCAGCTACTCAGGAGGCTGGGCAGGAGGTTCACAAAATCGAAGCCAGCCTGGACACTTGGGACACTGTGTCTAAAAATAAAATATTAAAAGGGCTGGAGGTGTAGCTCACTGGTAGAGCACTTGTCTAGCCTGTGTGAGCCCCTGGGTTTATTTTCCAGTACTACAAAAATAAATAAAGAAAATATAATGGTAAAGCACATGCTTGTACTTGAGAAGGTGTTCATGTTTATGCCAATGTTTCATTCCTAAATATATGTAAACATATATGACAAATAATTTCTGGTACTATTTAACATGTACATATTTCAAAAGCAGCCATAGACATGTTTAAACAGACAACTGAGTTTAAAAAGTTATTTGTGCCTTCTTTTACTTTGTTTCCTCAGTAGACTTACTGAATGCCACAAATTGTAGCTGTGATAATGGACACCAAATTGAGTAAAGACAGGCTTTGCCTTCACATATTTCACACACAGTGAGAAAGAGGAAAAATTTACAATCACTGTAGATGTTGATTACAACTGGCATGGGTTAGGGTTCTCGAGGGAACAGAATCAATGGAAAACATGTGTACAGTTATGCAGGGAATTTGTGAAGCTGACTTACAGGATGGGAGGTGGGAGGGTCCACTGTGGCCATCTGCACTCTAGAGAACCAGAAGACCAGCAGCAGCTCTCAGCCCAAGACGACAGAAGCTGCAAAACAAGAAGGACCAAGGATGCAGCACCAGTCCAAGATCAAAGGCTTGGAAGCTCCCTGGAGAGTCACTGGTACAAATCTGCACTGAAAGGTGGAAGAAACTGGAGTCGGATGACCAAAGGAAACAGGAGCAAAAGGTGCACCCTCTGAAGCAGGCTGGAGCTTTTCAAAAACATACGCCCGATTCCTTCTTCTTTTCCTTTTATTCCATCTAGGCTACAAGCCTGATGCTGCCCACATGTGGGGTGGGTCTTCCCCACTCGATTTTCCAGTCATCTGGGGAACAGCCCACAGACACACTCAGAACTGTGCAGCGGGAATCTGCCAGGCATTTTGTACTCCAGTCAAGTTGACAGTCACAAACTAGTAGGTGTGGAAATGCCTGGGTGGCTTCAGAGCAAAGTGAGAGGTCCCAAAAGGACTTGCTTGGTGGTGACTGTAGGGAGATGGGTTGAGGAGAGAAGTGGGAAGGATCTGGAAAACTAAGGCTGTGACAGAAACTGTAGAATTTCGCTGAGGTTTTACAGTAGTGATTGTAAGAGGGGGTCATTTGTACATTGTGTGACTAACTCATTTCAAGAAGGGAAAGTAGATGTAAAACCATTTAAAGGCAGCCTTGAACACAAAGGGTGTTCAAACACATTAATTTTATTCCTTTAATATTTAAAACCCAAATTGGTGTTGGTATGTGTCAAGCTTCTATGTTTATGAATCTCCCAAGGCTGTTTATATTAAATGCCTTGTTTTTGAAATAGCTGGTATTCTGCTGTTTAAGACTCTCAAAATTTAAAGAACTCCCTCCTTTTATACAATGTTTCTCTACATTTCTCTGCTCCCTGAGGTTTTTAATAATGAATCAACATGAAACCTTCACAAAACACTTGAAATGGCCCTGGAAATGAAAATTTTAATTATTGTGATTAAATAATCCCTCTGTAGAGAAACAGAGAATAATTGGAGGGTGCTAACAAATTTAAGTAAAACAGTATCCCAAAATATGGTTCTCTTTTACACCTCTTGAATTCCCTTCAATGTTTCCTGACATTTGACATTATTTTCCTGAGTGAAATATAGGTGCTTCTTACTTTCCCTCTCTCTCTCTCTCTCTCTCTCTCTCTCTCTCTCTCTCACACACACACACACACACACACACACACACACACACACACGCTCCTCAGGAAAGACTCAAATAGGACCAGAAGGAAGAAGAGATAAGAGGAAAAATTCATCAAATGTGATGTTGTCAGTTACAACACACTAAGAAGCTCAACTGTTGTAGAATCAAAATTAATTTGCTTGTTTCTAATTGCTACTTTCACCACTGCCACCTACGTTAAAGGCTGGGGTAAGAACTATCTATATGCATCAAATTCCCATGCTCCTGCCTATCCCTTCCAAGGAGCTCACAAGGAGCCCAGTCCAGAATCATCCACCCCTGGGGCTTCCCAGCCCTGTGTCACTAGAGGGTGAGAAGTTGAGCCTGTGTGCTGTCACCATTTCCTAGAAAGCATGTTTTCCTCTGGGGTCCACTCAAGCATGTTACCTAAGGTCTGATGGGCCATTATGACCAAGTAGATTTTTACTCAGAATGGATGGGCACACACAGAAGTACTGTGTTGTGACTCATGTTGTAACTTCAGATTAGAGAAGGGGCCCCCTCATGGACCCTGCCCCCAGGCCCTCCTCTCCACTTTAGTGCACTCCTCCTCCACGTCTCTCTGCTAGACCACTGCAGCATTCTTCTAAGTCTAGGCCCCAAGTTGCTCCCAACTCTGGAGAGTATCCCACATGCCAGCAGCTTTGTCACAATCCCAGCCAGAGGCCCACCCAGACACCAGCAACTTGGCAGGCAGTGCATTACCCAGCCAAAAGCCTGCCCAGACAATAGTTGCATGGATGAGCAGGCCACAGCCAGGGTCCCACCCAGACACCAGCAGCTTGGGCATGCAGGCCACAGCCTAAGGCCCCTCTGAGCAGGTGCACAGGCCCCATCCAGAAGTCCCCCTCTACAACATGCTAGCATGGGGATCCAGAAGGCCACTATTCTGAACCCAGGAATTGATGCAGTGGTGAGCAGCAGAAAGTGGAGGTGCAAAGAGTTGCCTCAATAAAAGCACAGCAAACTGCATTAGTTGAAAGGAGAAGACACTAAAACAAGTCTCAAAACCAGACTTCCAGATCACCAAAGGCAACCCCAAGGGGCAATAAGATGGAACAATCTGATACTCAACCACCTGGACTCCCTGAACTGGCAACCAAAGAGGATCCGGAAAAAATAAACTCAGAAATAATTTCTCAGATAACAACAGAGATTGTGTCCATCGTGAAAGACATGATTATTAACTCTAGAGTAGACACAGATAAAAAAAATAGAGGAGCTGAGGAACATGATGGAATCCCAACATAGGAAACAAATGGAATCCATAAAACACGCAAACACATATCCAGGAGATTAAAAACTTCATTGAAAGTTTATGCAGTAGAATGAGCCAGTGTGAGGACAGAATATCAGATATAGAAGACAGGATTGCAATTAGTGACCAGGAAAAGGAAGATTTCTTAAAAAAAGCAAAGGATCATGAGAAATCAATCCAGCAGCTGCTAGATGATGCAAAGAACAATAACATAAGACTGATCAGAGTCAAAGAAGAAACAGGAGAGAATGCACATGACATTTAAAAAACCATTCACAGAAGTAATGGCAGAAAACTTCCCCAGCAGGGGAAAAGAACTTGACATACAAATAAGTGAGGCATACAGGACTCCAACTAACCATGATCAAAAACAAATCTACACATAGGCATATAATACTCAAGATTCCAGAAAACCAACAGAAGAACAAAGTTCTACAACCAGTTAGAGAAAAGAAACAAATCACATACAAAGGAAAGCCCATCAGAATCACAGCAGACTTCTCAACACACACCCTCAAGGCAAGAAGACCTTGGAGTGATGTATTTCAAGCCCTAAAAGAAAACAACCTCCAACCCAGATTGATGTACCCTGCAAAACTATCTTTCAAAATTGATGGAGAAATAAGATAATTTTATGACAAAGAACACCTGATGAACTTCATGAATACCAAACCAGCACTCCAAAACATTTTACACAATATCCTAGGAAGAGACAATGAGGGTCACAACCCCACAAAGCTCAGCAGAATGAATCCATCAGGCAAGACAAAAGAATTAAATGCAAAGAGGGAGAATCCAACAACTGGAAAAGGTCATGACAAGGATAAGTCATTGCATATCAGTTATAACCATCAATGTTAGTGGTCTCAATTCACCAATCGTAAGACAAAGACAAAACCTTATCCTGTCCACACTCTCCTGCTAACCCTTTCCTAACAGCTCTGTGTTTCCTCATCACCTCAGTAAAGCTTCCTCTTACCTTTCCTTCTAGAATTTCTTTCATCTCTTCCTATTAAGTATCAGCCTTCACTCTGAGGTCCTCTCCTTACAGGTGCACTGCTTCAGTTCGAACATCCTAGGCACAGTGCCTGCTCATTTTGGTTGGGGATGGTCAAAGCTGGCCCTACCTCTGAGCATTGGACTTCTGTAGGGAGTTTTTGGAACATTCAGCTGGTACCTAAAGGGAAGGGGAAGTTGAGTTTCTCTTTATCCTTTTTTCAACAGAGCCTGGAGGTAATAGCTTCTTGCAAAGCTTGAGACTTGAGCCCTATTCATCCTTGGAAGGCAAAAGTCTTTGCCTGGAGGTTGTTATTGACCTCTCCCTAAAAGGTTCATGGGAACCATCTAAGCAGAAAAAGTCACTTTACAAAACCATGGAATTTGCAAGTCATCTTCCTCAGCACAAACATCCAGATTTCTTTACACAAAGGGATTCAATGATCTTTTGACATCTCTCATTCACACCTGGTTCTTTGTGTTTCTAATTGTCATAGATTGTTGATGGGAGTCTAAAATAGCACTATCCTTATAAAAAGGTACTTGGGTGGATATGATCAAAATATGTTATATACATGTATGAAAAATGCCACAGTGAAACCCCTTACTTTGTATAATCAATATGCACTATTTTTAAATAAAGGGTGCAAGAGGTATTTTCACTTTAGCCCACAAGTCCCATGACTAATAATTTTTACTACACTAATCCCTGAAAACATGCAATATAAAATCTGTGCAAGATAACTCACATCTGTAGTTGGTGGAGATAGAGATTGTAAACAACCCCAATATTTCTCATTAGAGGATTATTTAAACCAGGGTTTCTCAACCGGGAGTGATTTATTTTTGCTTGTCACTACTGGGAAGGGGAACACTCCTGGCATCTAGTGAGTAAAAGCCAAGGATCCTGCTACATTGCACAGGACAACCTCCACAACAAAAATGACCCAGCCCAAATCTCAGTAATGCCAAGGGTTAAACTATCATTTACCCACTGGATTAGTATGCAGTTATTAAAAATACAGATTAAGACTCTTCTGTATGTACAGATCTAAAAATGATTTTTAGAGAACATTAAATAACAATGGTCTGAATTATATGCTACTTTTTGTGTTGAAAAAGAAATAGAAAATCCATATAAATACAGTGTGCTTCTGTCTGCATAAACATCAAAAGACAATTCACAGAATTAATGAAGAAGATTACCAAATGGGGATTGATTGAATGGAGGTGGAAGTTGTATGCAGGCTTAAGCAGAAGCAGTACTTCTTAATGTGAACTCTTTATATATTCTTTTAATTTGGAACCATATAACTTTATTAGAGATTCAAATTAGTACATAAATATTTAGTACACAAAAAATAAATAAGACAAGGGAGGTCCTTGAGAATAAAGGAGTTATATCTTATCTCGTGTTCCAATTTTCTGACATTACACTTACCCTAAAATGGACACGTTAATATTCATTAAAAGAATTTAATTCAAGCCAATACCTTTCATACTGTTAAGTACCTTCATAAATACATTCATGAGCACTGACCTAGTTTAAAAATAAATGAAAAGTATACTTTGTAGCCTTTGACTTC